AAAGTTAGTTTAGTTTAGGTTTCCTCCTGTAGTAACACTGGATCAATAAGAGATGATCCTTACTGGACCTCTAGAGAGGACAGTTTAGAACTGCCAAGAACTATCCAGTATAAATAAAGTTAGTTTAGTTTAGGTTTCCTCCTGTAGTAACACTGGATCAATAAGAGATAATCCTTACTGGACCTGTAGAGAGAACAGTTTAGAACTGATTGAGAGATATTTAGTATAAACACAGTTTAGTTTAGGTTTCCTCCTGTAGTAACACTGGATCAATAAGAGATGACCCTCACTGAACCTCTAGGAAGAACAGTTTAGAACTGATAAAGCTATCCAGTATAAATAAAGTTAGTTTAGTTTAGGTTTCCTCCTGTAGTAACACGAGGACAGTTTAATTTAGTACTGTCAAAATCTGTGTTCAGTTCTATAATATTCCAGTTTAAGAACAATCGAAATCCAGTATGAATACAGGTTTTTGCTCCATATGCTAATTAGCATTGGTTAATTTAATCATTGGTTGATTTCATAGCAACTTGGCTTGTGCCTGCGGTGAAGAACACATACTTGGTGAACGCATTGTGGGCGAAACATCAGGAGCGCATTTAACATATCGGTGAGTAATCTTTTGTTTTTTTTTTACTTGTTGTTTACTAATTGTAGTAATAGTGTACACAAATTGTTGTTTGCCGTTTAGCGCAGCTTCGCTGACGAGGCGACGTACTGCGGTCATTTTTTGAACGCGAGACTTATGTCGAGCACTTTTAATTAACACCATGAAATTTGCAGCCGTAGACGCACGTTATTCATAACACTGGTTAACACGCAATTATTTGACAGTGTAAATCTCTTCTTGTCAAAGTTTTATGATGTGAATTCAGCCGCTCATTCTCTGCCGTGCTTTGTGTCTGAACTACCTGAAAGAGATTTCTCAAACGTGGTGGTCCAGTGTGGGTAGTTTTCTACAATAAGCTGTCGTGGTTTGTGTCTGAGGTCTGATCTACCTGAAAAGATATCTCAAACGTGATGGTCCAGTGTTGGTACTCTACAATAAGCTGTCGTGGTTTGTGTCTGAACTACCTGAAAAAGATACCTCAAACGTGGTGGTCCAGTGTAGATAGTGATTCTACAATAAGCTGTTGTGGTTTTTGTCTTTACTAGCTAAAAAGACTAAATTAAATACTTCGATGTTTTAGTAATAAAAAAACTTACGTCAGGATTGCTACTAATTTCTTGACGAAGCGCCTTCACAGGTGGAATTGTTTTAATTTTGTCAGGGAGTTCAGGCCCAAACCAATTCAAACTGATGTACCCATTGTACCCACGTTTCAGACAAACCACGACAGCTTATTGTAGAATACTACCCACACTGAACCACCACGTTTGAGATATATTTTTGGAGTAGTTCAAACACAAACCACGACAGCTTATTGTGGAATACTACCTACACTGGCGGCGACCACCACGTTTGTGATATGTTAATTTGCAGGTAGTTCAGACACAAACCACGACAGCTTATAATTGTAGAATACCACTGACCTACAATGGACCTCCACGTTTGAGATATTTTATGTCTGATCAGTTCAGACATATAAATAAATCATGGCAGCTTATTGTAGAACACTACCTACACTGGACCACCACGTTTGAGATACCTTTTTCAGGTAGTTCAGACACAAACCACGACAGCTTATTGTAGAATACTACCTACACTGAACCACCACGTTTGAGATATCTTTTTCAGGTAGTCAGTCAGACACAAACCACGACAGCTTATTGTAGAATACTACATACACTGAATCCTCGCGTTTGAGATATCATTCTTTATGACTATCTTGACCGGAAAAGCGGAAAATTGAAAAGAGTCGCTTTCCACCGTGATACGCTGGCCAAACGGAACCAACAACTTGGTTTCACATTCAGACATTCTCTGGCTCTGTACAATCTGCGGTTATATCATTCTTGGTGAAAAACCACACATCGGAAATGCCAGATCCAGAAGTTAAACGTCTCAATGCTATTCATTTGATTTCAAGCTTGTTTCAATTGCGCTTCTTCCTGATTTGCGGTATTTTTCCAAGCGTCATACAAAATTATGAATACGACATGTATTTTGCCTCAGACAATTTCCTGTGATAATGATGCACGCAAGCACTGATGTGGATTCGAAAAAAAGGCGCTAACCGAACATTTATATACGATTGAGATGACATCTATACTAAGTACAGAGCCAAGGACTCGAGCTAAAATGAAATAAAATTAAATAACTCAAATAAAAACCAGTGTTTAAAGTCATAAAGAGCGTGACGGCGTACTATCCAGAACTCATTAATAATGCATGAGGAAATTAGCCCAGCCGCATATTGCTTTATTTTGCTCACATGATAATACTTGATTGTAGTGGATACCTGATGATGAAGTATATTGATATAGTCCTAGGATCAAAATGAATTCAGTGTATAAAGTATTGATATTTAACAAATATAAAACATTTTCCGTGTTGATATACAGTTATATCAACACGAGCGGAAATTGGGAAAACGAGAAATTAATTGTCACACAATTTCGAGTTTTCCCAATCCCCCCACGACTGTTGGTATAACTGTATATTAATAGGGAAAAAATGTTGGGTTTTTTATAATATACTGACGAAGAGATATACAGAAATATTAAAATGTTTCGTGTTGATATTGAGTTATATCAACACGGCTCTTAACCAATCAGCGTTCATAGTTTACAAATGCTATATTATAAATTCATATATGATTATGAGATCGTATGAGATGACAAAAGTGGGTGGGGCACACCCACCCCCACCCCCAGTTCCACGACCCCTGCATTCAACTGTTTAAGTTGTTTATTAGAATTGTATGGTTTGGTCGTTGTATCATGCAGTTTTCAACGCCGGTATGAATTAGTGTGAACCATATAATCATATTTAAGTCAATTTGCAGAGGAACCGCCGGTTGGAGTTCTTCGCGGGGCACCTCGTTAAATTGGCCAACTTTTGGTTTATGAACCTTTGCAATAATGGGATTTTCATCCCACACATTCTTTCGTTTCATTTGATGACGGAAGAACGTTTTGGGGCCAGTTGCCAACCGTGAATACTTCGCGAAATTTGGGGGCGGGGGCGAATAAGGTTGGGGGGGGGGAATAAGATTGCCCTTTGCAGCTGGAGATCTTAGTTCGTTAATATTTGTTGAAATTTCATACAATGTAAAATAGACTACCAATGTTTTCATGATTGAAGAATTATCGTCACAGCTTTATATTACACAGTTATTCAGCTCTCTTTCAAATCCTTTCGGAATTTATTTGGAAAAGGGTTGCTCCCGTCCCCCTTCCCCCGTCTCTCCTGACCCCATCACTACCTGTTATGATGAAGCCCAGATATGGATAGAATAACGATTTTTTAAATCTTTTTATAAATTCTTGAGAAGCTTTGAGACTACGGATGTGAACCCCACAATGTATATAAAAAGACTATGAGTTATAAATACTAAATAATTTATCTAGTTTACATTAACAATCGGCAAATTCTAGAAGAAAATCACTAGATACCGCCATCCGGATTTCGTTGACAACCGAACCCAGAACCGATATATATATAGTCAGGCAAATACTGCTACTGAATCAATAAGGAACTACCCTTGACCTCCAGAGAAAACAGTTTAGAACTGATATAGAGCTATCCAGTATAAATGAAGTTAGTTTAGTTTAGGTTTCCTCCTGTAGTAACATTGGATCAATATAAGAGGTGATCCTTACTGGACCTCTAGGAAGAACAGTTTAGAACTGATAAAGTTATCCAGTATAAATAAAGTTAGTTCAGTTTAGGTTTCCTCCTGTAGTAACATCCTGTTTAGGTTACCTCCTGTAGTAACACTGGATCAATAAGAGATGATCTTTACTGGACCTCTAGGAAGAACGGCCGGTTTAGAACTGATAGAGCTGTCCGGTATAAATAAAGTTAGTTTAGGTTTCCTCCTGTAGTAACACTGGATCAATAAGAGATGACCCCTACTGGACCTCTATAGGAAGAACAGTTTAGAACTGATAGAGCTATCCAGTATAAATAAAGTTAGTTTAGTTTAGGTTTCCTCCTGTAGTAACACTGAATCAATAAGAGATGATCCTTACTGATCCTTTACGGAGAATTACTGGTCAGTAGAACCAGGGACGCCGGAACTGGGGGGTGGGACAGGAGGGGCAGCCGCCCCCGTTGCCCTTTACCAGGAGGGGCAAGGGGGGGGGGCAAAGGTGCCCTTTCAATTTAAAGGATTGCCTTAGCGAAATAGCGAATTGTCAGAAATGTTAGTGCAATTCTTTTACGAATTTGCTTGAGAAAACGCAAGAAATGCAGTCATCGAGCTTCAAGAGTAGCACAATCGCCTGGCGGAGAACACCCTCACACCCCTATCATCCAATAAATAGAAAACATGATCAAGGTTGGGTTGTAGCGAAGTAGTTGTAGTTCGCTACTGTAGCGAACTACAATTTTCAAGTAGCCAGTAGTTTTTTACTACTTTTTTAAAACAGTAGCTGTAGTTATAGCGAACTACATTTTGCCTAAAAGTAGCCAAGTAGTTGACTACTTTTCAAACAGCGAATCGCTATTCGCTACTTTTTAAAATTGTTAGGAACTTGATAGAATAGCATGATATTGAGACACGGTTTGCTTAAAATCAGTACTCAATAGTCAATTTGCACTCCTGAACACTGTAGTGCTTACAAAATGTTGCTTTGTGTTTACTGTTGCTACTCGTAAGTCGATTTGTTATAGATTACATTGCAGCCTGAGTTAGTAGATGCTCCAAATATAGTAAACCTAAAAAATATAGTGTAGCGAAATAGCGAAATAATTCGCTACATTTTTTAAGCAGTAGCTGTAGTCAGTAGCGAACTACCTTTGTTCAAAAGTAGCAGTAGTTGTAGCTGACTACATATTTTTGAAGTAGCTGTAGTTATAGCGAACTACAAAAATTTTGTAGTCAACCCACCCTTGAACATGATTAGGTGAAGTTCAACTCCCGATGTTTTGCAAACATCTCTTAGTATATATCAATTCAAAAATGCCCTTTCACGAAAATCTGCCCCCCTTGCCTTCACATCGTTCCGCGGCGTCCCTGAGTAGAACTACCACTACAGTATAAAAAAAGTTACATTGTAGTAAATTTTTCTAATTAGATTATTCAGATAATAACTTAGTTTGAGTTTAATCTTGGTGTGATTTACAAGAAATTCCGTTTTATTAAATGCCGCTTCCGTACCGCACTTTTCTGTAAAAAGTTAAAATTGTGGTTAATGTCGGTATCATGACCGCGCGTCATGTGAATATCCGGTTTTAAAAGCCTGCTTCACCTGGTTCTAATAATTTTTTAAGTTATGTCCTTAAGGGGTTTGGGGCTTGAGTAAAAAACAAGCGCGAGGAATGAGGCGAAAAGGTTTGCTTTGCTTGCCTACATCTCATAACTTCTCAAAGTTTGTGAAGTTATCTAAAACACGCTCAAACTTTACATTGCACTATACCACAAGTATAAACGAACCGTTCATTTTTCAAAACTGAAGGGAAACCATCACAGCATATCGTTGTCTCGGAACCACAATTATAAACGTTCATAAATTAAGTCAAATTTCTCTTTAGTAACTTCACTATACTCGGGTTCATCTGAGACATTATACCTCACTTGAAGACGTTTACCTTGAGGACTTTAATTATCGTGTCTCGTTTTTCGACTCATTAAAGTGCTTATTCTCGTTCGCGTGTCTCATTAAGAAATGAAATGTTGTAGAAAATATCTTAATCCACTGAATTCACATGTAATTTCTCGGAATTTACATGCTCATTTTGCGACAGTGCAAATACATGTGCACAGATTGGCAACATTCATTCAAGCAAAATGGGCATGCAACAATAATTCAATTTTTCGCGTGTGCCATGCATCATCGACACAATCCTGAAATTGATTGCAAAACACTTACGCTATGTTTCAACGGTATACTTGTGTCAATTGTTTATGCGAATAGAAGTCTGAATAACAGAAATAGTCAGACAAACTAATTAAGATTTCAATCGTACCTCGGTAATAATGTTTTAAAAAATTTGTTGCTGAGGTTAAATTGCCTGAGCCAGTAGTATAGTATATACACATGCGTTGTATTGGATAAACAATTTTGTCTTATATTATTTGGCGCCACCCTAAACTTATTTCCGATTGGAATTTTAGTTTTTTATCTATTACTTCGGAATTTTTTCACAGCTAGCTTAGGCTTTAAGCTCACACGGTATTAAAATAGGGAAAAAGTTATTTCTCTGACCTCAGAATGACATTTCGTCAAAAAAATTTTCTTCAAGATTGGTTTAGAAACAAACTTGGAGTAGGGTTAGGTTAGGGTTAGGATAAGGATTAGGGTTGCTATTAGTGTTAGTAACACCGTTGTTTTGTTGCGTTTTGTCACTCTGAGGCCAGCGAAATAACCTCTTCCTATTAATAGCCGCGAATAATTGTGATTTGGCGATATGCGCAAACTTGCGCGGACAAAAGTTGATGAGAATTTCATTTCATTCGTATTCTTCAGCAATTTAAAATAAATGAATGATATTTGGTGAGAAAATTGAACTTAAAGTTTATGTATAAATCTTTCGCCACGAATTATTAATGAGTTTCGCAATGCCATATTCAACAATGTATATTATTTGCTTGTACACTTGTCAAGCAGCATGCAAGTGTTTATAAACGACGATTACTTTACGTGCATTTTACAACAGCAAGGATTTACTGACTGTTTTTCGCTTAGTTTTAATTTCATTGAATTGCTTCGCGCAAGAGCATTGAAGGAGAAGGCATTATTAGTTCGTGCGAAGCAGGCATTATTAATTCTGCAAGGCGCTTCCAAGCTGTCGCCAAAATTAAATTGAATGACATATCTCTTGCTCCAATGATGGCAGGTCAGATATGTTGATTACCTTATAATTACCCAGCAGAATTTACTCTACCCGTAAATTCGATTACCGCTGCGCGAATATAGGTCGCAAAAGCCCGAAGGGAAAACCAAATTTGCGCAAAAAATTCTAACTATGCATGGTCTATGGAACCGCACGTTATTTTTAGAGGCCCCAGAAAGGGACACGCATATTCGGTGATTTAGTTTCGATGCCTGCAAAATAATTGCATCGAATTTTAGGTTTCTAGGACCAATTAGATATTATAACAGTTTTGTTAGTGGAAACACCACGTAAATTTATTACTGCAAAGCTTTCGATCCGTACGTAAGCCCGGCCGATCTTCATCAGTGCTAATAATATACGTGGTGTTTCGCCATGCAAACATACAAGGAATCAATTAGATATTGTTAAAATATCTGGCCTGAGTCAATGACAATGAGATCGTCTGGGCAAATCCAAAAGGTGCCACTCTTCTCATGTCAAAGATATCTGATAGTGGGGCAATGACAATGTCATTTAACTCCATCTCAAATCACTTAGCTAAAAGATATCAAAAACAATTAACTCACTTACAAAATTTTTAAAAATCACTTATTAAGCTACTTTATCTTCAACAAAATAATTATGCTCTGCATCTGAAGACTTGTATAGATATAAATTTACCTGCAACTCATTTGTAACTGTAAATAATTACCTGCGACTTAATCTATACCTTTTCCATATATTAAACTTACAGGCAGGGGCGAAACTTGAGGGGGTATGGAGGGGGGTGACACCCCCCAAAAAAAAATATACTGGATCATCAGGATTGGCAGGGCGAATGATCTGGATTGGCAGGGCAATCAAAGATTTTAAATGATAGAATGTAGAGTTATTAAGTAACTTTCAGGGCTTTCAGAGGGAATTGAATAGAATTTATAGACCTAAATAAGGGCTCCCCCCGAAGTAAAAGGGGCTAGTTTCGCCCCTGCTTACAGAGTATAGATTCACAATATTGTATATACATATATTTTAACTTAACTAATGAAGGCCATCTGGAAAAATACTTGTAAAGATGTTTTACCCTCCCAAACTATGAAAAAATTGGACCACACCAGTGCACATGCGACTGAAGTGAAGTTATAAACAACTCGGCCTTGCCTAAGTTTGCCATCCTAGTCTCAGAGATGAAAGGAACAAACATCCCAATGAACTCGTTTTCAAATATGACAACAAAAACGTATATAATGAGTTTTTATCGCGCTCTTTGAACCAATTTAAAGTCAGCATTCTGCTAGCCTATGTTGTAGACCCCAGCAGAAACACGTTTCGTACAAACACGCAGAAACATGTTTCGTTACACCGTAGGCTAGATGTGAATAGCAGAAATGAAAAGAACCGGCCAAAGTGATTCGTAGGCTTTAATTTTAAAACCGTGCTACCCATGGCGCTATTTTTGTAAACAAAGTTTATTAGAAAATATATTGGAATTTGCATGGGATCGATGTTCGACGCCAGCACGCGCGTTCAATGCTAATTTCGATCCCGTCTTTCCCTATTAAATTTTCTGTTTTTGGAAACAACGCTAGTGCCAGAGTTTTTAAATACACTCAACAAAATTTTGTGCACTTAGAAAAAATATCGTTTGAATGAATCTCATACTGTTACTGGAATCAAACAAAAAGCTACATAATTCAATTAACTTTGAAATGTTATTTTGCACGTTTATCGAAGCTAGCTGTGATATAAGAGCTGTATTAAACGAATCAACCTGGCTAACCGAGGCCATCCTGGCTCCATATGGCAGCCCCTTACTAATATGAACCTGCTGCTCTCATTTCTGGTATTTATAAAATGCTAAAATCAAATTGAAATTTACTCCAAACGTGATAAACTGGGTCTATTATTTAAATTTCTATACCATCAAGAATTCCGAGAATTCAGACATATTACTAAATGTTGATTAAAACAACCTTTGCCAGACGGCGAGACGATTATATAACCGCTTCTAAACTTAGTTCCAGATAAAATATTTTGCCTTTTTGAGAAAAGTAAAAACGCTGTCGAAAACACAACAATTAGCTTGGACATTATAGAGCAAATTACCACACATTTAACTAATTTAAAGAAAATTGCAAAACAAGATCTACTTAATTTCATGAAATACTGCCCATACTCATAGGGAGACCAATATAGTCCTTTAGAACTAACAAAGCTATCCAGTAATTATAAATAAATAAATAAACTAACTTTCTTTATACTGGATAGCTCTATCAGTTCTATACTGTTCTCCCTAGAGGTCCAGTAAGGATCATCTCTTATTGATCCAGTGTTGCTATACAGGAGGTAACCTAAACTAAACTAACTGTATTTATCAGTACTGGATAGCTCTATCAGTTCTAAACTGTTCTTCCTACAGGTCCAGTAAGGATCATCTGTTATTGATCCAGTGTTACTACAGGAGGAAACCTAAACTAAACTAACTTTATTTATACAGGATATCTCTATATAAGTTCTAAACTGTTCTTCCTAGAGGTCCAGTAAGGATAAACACTGGATCAATCAGGGATGATCCTTACTACAACTCTACAACAGTTTATAGAAGTAATAGAGCTATATCCAGTGCAAATAAAGTTAATCGATTTTTAAACTATAAAAGAGATATGTTATTTGCTTCCCCTCATTTAAATCACGTTGGCTTTGATTGTTTTTTATTTGAACGTAATCTTTGCGGGTTTCGCGACGCCATATCTTGCTAAGTGGGACAAACACAATGATACGATGAGTATCAAGATATGATTGTCTGGAAACTGAGTCATTGTGTAATGTTTTTGTCTGAGTTTATGTTAATTTGTGCGCAGTTTATGTTAACTGTTTGAACTCATGCAGTTGTATTTTTGTATAGAGAGATAGATAGATAAATCGTTTATTGCAAAAGGGATACCAGCTTTGCAGTCAAAAACTGAATTACGCTGAAAAACTCTTACCATGAATTGCGTAAAAGTTATGTTACATATAAAATTATGAATCAAAGTTAAAAATTTCAGCGAAATGTACTATAAATGATTTCTTGAACCGATCAGTCTTACTCCTCGGAATTGAACGAAGTATTCGTCCAATATAGGGATAGCAGTGAGACGAAACATGCAACCACGATGAATGAATATTTAGTGAAGTTGAGACAAAGGATTTGTGCAAGGTGAGGTACAATTCAACATCAAACAAATGAAAGCTCTTCTATGTTGTGACTTTGAGGATTGCCGGGCCTCCAGATCATCGTATCTTGACAGACTACGTTTGCATAACACTTTTTTTTTACAAATGATTAGCACTGCTGTAAAAAATTCAGACAACAACAATGCATTAATTGTCTAGGCCACAGGGCGGAGGATTATTTGCCACTTTTACAAAGAAAAGCTATATTGCCCTTTTTTATACACTGAGTATAGGCCTAAATAAGGTGCGTTTTATAAGTAAAAGCAGAGGTCAGCATAAGTGATGACCAATTCGTGCAGTGATACAATGAAAGCGTGCCAGTGATAAAGACCGCTAAGAATGTGCACCAGTGATAAGGCCGAGGGAATTAAAGTCATAGAATACCGTCCTTATAATTTCAAAAATAGAAGAGGCTTTTTTTCATTATTCATTATTCATTAATTTTAGAAATGTGTGAAAATTGGTCGAACATCAATAAACCTGCATGTTCAGTAATATGCCAGCAATGTTTAAAACTAGGCAGCGAATGCCTGCGAAATGAAAGCTTTGCTGTACAAGTAGACTTTGCCCTTAATACATGACTTCTGCGATGAATTATAGTTTCAAGTGTAGATAATTGTTGAAATAACAATTTTTTTTTAAATAATGATTTTTTTGTGGCAACATTTTGTTGTTTCAACGTTGAAATTTGGTAGAAAAAAGGTTGCGACGTCGACAACCTAATATCTACGTTGCTCTGACGTTGTTTTACAAACATTGGTTCAACAGCAGCCAACAGACGTTGAATTAACGTTCATTCATGGTTAAATGTACGACGTCGATTTGTGAACAAATCTCAACGTTGTTTTAACGTGGATTCAACGTTGAATTATGGTTGACGAGATTGGCAACCTAATTTCAACGTTGTTTCAACGTCGAAACAGTAACGTCGATCCAATTTGCATAGTCAACCCTTTTTCAACGTCTATCCAACGTCTGGAAGGTCATTTTCAACGTTGATTCAACGTTGGATAAACGTCATTTTGCCCGCTGAGTATATTGTTTTTGGAATGCGGAGTAATAAATATTTCATCAAATGAGGTCTGAAGGTGCTTAGCAGAGTAAATTATCAAATGAATAGTAAAAAGTAATTCAACTTTGACATCAGGTGATCGCACGTTAATTAATACGTCAGTAGGTTTTCTTTTTCGCTTTTATAAGGGACCGTTCATTATTTATACCGGGGGTTGGTATCGAAGCTATAAAAGAAAAGCTATAAAATAAAATAGAATAAGACCATGTCAGCTATAAAATAAAATAGAATAAGACCTAAATTACCATGCATTGGAAAATATGAAAAAAAATGTGTACAATACATTCTGTACCAAAATTGACCATCGGTGATTGAGAAAGGACTCTATCATTGATCAGCAGGAACGTGATTGCTTTGGCACACTCAGTAAATTTGAGTGTAAGTGAGCTTTTATAATAAAGGCAACTTGATTTCTGTCACCATAATCTTCTTTGTTTAATTATTATGAAGTATAGTAACACATGGGATCTAGTCCAGTTCGAAATGGAGGATTTGAAATGACATCTCATACGAATAGGTCACTACTTAAAGTAAGATGAACTACTTTTGATCCAATCCAAGGACTGACTTAATTTGGATCCAGTCCTGGCCTACGACTGAATCAATATACTCACTAGGTATCCAGTATTATTGTGTGAGCAAAACAAAGCAGTATGGTTGGCTAATTTACTCATGAATTATTAACGATTGAACAGTTCAATATTTCGACATGCATATGACTTTCAAAATATTACAAGTTAGCGTTGGAAGACGTTTTTAACGTTGATGATCCAAGGACATGGAAATCTATATGTTTGTCTTGTAACAAGTCTCGTAATCTGTCCTGCCAAATATCGTGTTGTTATTAGATTTATGTTCGTTGTATATTGTTGTATAGTATTAAAATAGTTAATGGGGCCGCTGTAATTAGTGAAAACTGTTGCGTGCACCCTGCCAATGCCGGGAACACATATTATATGTTGTTGTAAATCAGTGCTGTTAAATTCTTGCATGTTACTTGGCAAAGTTAAATAAATAAATAAATAAATAAATATGCTTAATGCTTTCAATGTCACACTATAGTTCAGCTGCGATTTGTCCCATTTGTAGATTCTGAATTGTCTTATTCTCTTCGGCTCCTACATACTGAACAGCATTCTGACATTGACGTCATCTGCTCAGGTGCCCTGTTGCCAATCGATATTTTCTGTCGTTAAGGCTATCAGTTTTTGTGATCACAGTAGGAATTTTGCATCGGTAAATTCTAAGTTTTGAAGTCAGTTCCTTCAAACATTTCTTACAAATCCTTCAAAACTTAGAATTTACCCAGCATGCAAAATTCCTATTATGATCACAGAAACTTTGATAGAGTAAACCTGGCGTTAGAGTCGGTTCCAACCCATACGACCAAGCTTTGTGACTGGTCGATTCTTACAATAAAAGACAACTATAGAATCCATCTTTCCATCAAATCAAAGAACAAGTTATAACCAATGATTACTTTTGTTTGTAAAAATGAGGAAACGTGTTCATATCCATGGAATATAGGTACTTTAATCCATCATAAATCCTAATTTGAGCTCGGAGTGGATTAATTACGTCTCGTGTAACTGACTTGTTTACCCCCAAGTCATCTCATTAACCCAGATAACCTTATCGTACTGTGGTTTGCATTCTAAAAATTCCCTCATGTCTGCTTATAGCACCGCGCGTGTGATCCAAATTACGCTTGGCAACCGAGCAAATATCGAAACCGCTCATGGGCGTGTCCCTGCTGGTGTTATAAAAGCCCACTGTCCCACAGCATTTTCACAATTTCCTGGTACCATCAACAGATATCGAAGAAAAGCCGCAAGTACTACGAATACTTTGTGAAAGGTTGATATAGCTCGTCTGCCTCGACGCAAACTTGTACAGGCGAAAAGCCTAGAACTGTGTAAAAAGCTGCAGGATCGCAATCTCGGAAGAAATTCGTACAGAAGAAAGGTCCACTGAGCGTTGTCTGAAAAGCTACCTTCCTTCAATATCACAGAAACATCAACCAAATTGTGAGTATGATATTAAAATATACAAGGCATGCTGCAAAACGGTATTATATTTAGGCCTAGGACTGTGACGTGTTGGACTAGCTCGTCTAAATTGGTCCATGCAAACAAAGTTCTATGGCATTTTGAAGTTCTGAATTTCAACCGATATTTTGGAAGGAATCCTGTATCATCTGCCCAAAGTAGCACTATGTAAGAAAATTTAGAGACCTTTATGACCTGATAACTTGATTGGCGATACAATCCGTTTGAAAAAACTGGAATTAGCAAGGGGAAAAATGGTATTAAAACATTTACAACCTACATAGCTATACTTGGACGTCAATAGCCGCCATCTTGACTTTTCATATAGTCCGAATGACTGACGTTTTTGCCTCAGATATATCCATATAGATAAGGTTCCCTGAGTGAAAATACTATAGATGAAAACATCAACATGCTTTCTTAAGAAATAAGAACCGTAAGCCCCATTTATATAGACTATCGCCTGTATTGTAAAAGCTCATTCACACTCAAAGAGTGGAGATTCAATCCAAGCTTCTCTTGAGTGTCAATGCTGTTTGTGAATAGCTGAAGGTTAGTGTCGTGACTTACCATGTGACTACTCACTCTCCAGCTATTCAAATACAGCATTGACACTCAAGAGAAGCTCGGATTGAATCTCCACTCTTTGAGTGTGAGTGAGCTTTTAGAATACAAGCGAATGTATAATAACCTTTTTAGGCTAATTTGGAAAATCTATAGGTTGTTATACGCAAGGTTTAACTGCACATGGACATTATCAAAGCCACTTTGATATAATATTTACGTGTACAAATAATTATCGTCTTCCTCTTGTAGAAATAATACGTGAGTGGAAAGACGATAAACTGTAAGAATGAAAAATTTTGGCGTTCTAGTTCTTTTGCTTCTTGCCTTTCTCTCTTCAATCACGTGCGCTCCAATCAGCAACACGAGCACTTCACATGTTCAGTGGTATAAACGAGCACCGAGTTTCATGATAAACCTTTTTAATCAAATTGTTGCGACTCAAGGCGATCTTTCGCAACTGGGAGGAACGCATGTCCGTGGAATTTGGACGATAGTGAAAAGTAAGTGTAAAGATGTGTTAACTGCCTTTGCATAGTCTCCAAAACTGGCTTATTTTATTTATACTGGATAGTTCTGTCTGTTCTAAACTGTTCTCCCTATAGAGGTCCAGTAAGGATCATCTCTTATTGATCCAGTGTTACTACAGGAGGAAACCTAAACTAAACTAACGTTAACTTTATTTATACTGGATAGCTCTATCAGTTCTAAACTGTTCTTCCTAGAAGTCCAGTAAGGATCAACTCTTATTGATCCAGTGTTACTACAGGAGGGAACCTAAACTAAACTAACTTTGTTTATGCTGAATAGTTCTATCAGTTCAGGTTTCCTCCTGTAGCAACACTCATTGAACAGTTTAGACCCGGTAGTGCTATCCAGTACGAATAAAATTACTAAGTTAGTTTAGTTTAGGTTTCCCCCTGTAGTAACACTGGATCAATAAGAGATGATTCTTACTGGACCTCTAGGGAGAACAGTGTAGAACTGATAGAACTATCCTGTATAAATAAAGTTAGTTTAGTTTAGGTTTTCTCCTGTTGTAGCACTTGATCAATAAGAAATGATCCTTACTGCACTAGCTTCTATCGAGAACAATCGATCTAGAACTGATAGAACTGCCCATGCAAATAAATTTCAGTACTTAAAAATCCTTTATTAATTTTACAGAGCCACAGAATACAGTCTCATCCGCGAACGTTGTCAATCTTTTGAGCGTCGTGAATGGCACAAGTCTGTCTCTCAACACAACATATTTAGTCAACCTTCATGTATCCGTCGAGGCCAAAACTGGCGTACAACAAGGCGATTGCAACGTGGCTTTATACGACGTCAAATCTAACACCGAAATTCTCTCGAAATACATACCGTGTGATACTTCAAGTAAACTTGTGCTAGCTGTGACATCTTGTGTGAAAAAATGGATAACAAATCCCGCTGAGAACGCTGGAATGAGATTGAAAATTTCCGCAAAGACCGATAAATTTCCTGCGTCGAGTCTGCCATTTGTGAACACCCACCCCAGTGTCGAGCCGCCATTTTATATTCTTTACTTGTAGTATGTATCGATAATACATGTTTTATTTGTGTAATATATATGTAATGTTTAATAAACGAGTAGGAGTGTTTTATCACAATATAAAACACGACGCGTAGCGGAGTGTTTTATATATGATAAAACACGAACTACGAGTTTATTAAACAGTTTCAAAAACGTCTCAGTTTATAGATCACTGCATTGGCGAAATAATTACAGAAAGAACATATATATATATATATATATATATATATATATATATATATATATATATATATATATATATATATATATATATATATATATATATATATATATACATATAAGATTACACATATTATTCATGTATAAATAATGGTTTTATATTAAGATTTTTGGCCATCTTGGTGGATAGAACTAACAGTTGGAGGGATTTTATAGATCGAAATTTCCACTGGAAGATTATGTATAATTTTAGACCAAACCAATATATAGCAGCTGCGAAAAATGTACGTATACAGGCTATAGGTATCATGGTTTTGGGGCATCTCAACTCGAATTTACACCCATCTATAGGCCAGAGGGCCTAAATATAGTTGCATTCTCCCAGCTGCTCTTGGTTATAGGTCTGAAATTGTCCACTAATCTTCCGTTCGGAATTTCCAGCCACAAAAACCTAATAATATAATATGATTGAGTGGCAGGGTTTTAAATCTAGCTCGTATCTAGTATATATGAACATTTATAGACAGTAAACAAGGGCATGTTATATCGTTATTATACGCTTAAAGCAATGTATTGTAGATGGATTAAAATGTTACAAAACACTTCAATGGTAGCTGGAACACGAAACGAGTTCTTTGTTTCTCTCGAAAGGATCGGTGATGATTTCTTTTAGATCAGTTCTTCGGATTGGTCGCGTCGTACAGCAATATTCGAGATGTGTTGCCAGAGTGGTCGTTTGAATAAACTGCCTCGCACAATACTGGCAGGAGACTGGGCTCAAAACTATATTGATGAAATGTTGGAACATTTGTTAGTGCATGCGTCTCTCTGACTATACTAGCTTTGTTCCTATACTACTATATGCATTTGTTGGATTGCGGTGCAGCGCTAGCTCTAACCACGAGCTACAGTTTGAGTCCAGTTCTTCAGTATTAACCACAAATGTTGAACATTAACCACAGAGTCCATGCCTGCCGTCTAAAGCCTCGTCAAACGAGGATGAGAGTTGATGAAAGTCGGCAGTCACAAAAAAATTCTTCATAAAAATATTCTTCATTCATAAAAAAATTCCTCCATTTCCTCAGGGTCAAAGACAGACAAGATCATTTAACCCCAACTCGTACAAATATAAAATTCCGACATACAAGACGTCAACCTATGAAAAATCTTACAAAATCCGAACATCAAGAATATGGAACACACTACCTAATCATAATTATTACATCCAAAGATCGAACATTTTCAGAATTCAAGAATCTTCTTTTTAAGTGGTATATTTCAGCATTAGAAAATACATACGATGCTGAGGATTCCCGCACGGCCGCACATGGAAAAGTGCGTGTATCTAAAATGAAATTCTACTCGAAGTTTAATGAACTCTCCATTGACATGCTGTTTTTAGACACCAGATAATGTAACGACTGTTGTTCAAGTGATTGTTTATTGTGTGTGTTTAGTATACCTTGTAAATTGTTTCCGTATAACTATTGGGGCTGTTGTAATTGGCAATATAGCTGTTGTGGTTTCCCAGCCAATGAATGTATAAGTATGATGGCAAAGTAAATAAATAAATAAAAATAAATAAATGAAGACATTTCAAGCGCTAGATTAACAAAATAAAGGTTTGATGAATTGAACAACTATGTTTTAACTTGAATAGAATACATGATAGTGTTGGCAAAGCATTAAGAACAGCTAACCAAGCTCATGTGACTGCCAACTCTCATTGCACTCTCACCCTCGAAATGCTGGGCACATAAATAAATTAAAAACGACGCCGGACGTCAAAAACTTACCGCGTGTGTTAAACGTATCGAGTTTTGGACAACATTTCATGATCGTGTGAAGGTCAAAGTTGTCGGCGTTCTTCAAGACGAAGTCACATTTTGTACAAGCGTACGTCTCGTGTCGTTTGTCTGTCGTATTTCGGTAGCAAATTACACTTTCATGGCATGCTCTTGTCTCTGGATAAGCGAAGCAGCGACCACATAAACGGCATGGGTACGTTTTTGGTTTGAAATTCCTTCGTTCTGTAAAGCAATTCAATTTTTTCATGTTAATATTAAGGTTTGAGTTTGAACCATCTGAAAAACGGTATCTCAAACGTGGTGGTCAAGCGCAGGTATAGTATTCTACATTAAGTTGTCGTGGTTTGTGTCTGAACTACCTGAAAAATATATCTCAAACGTGGTGCAGGTCCAGTGTAGGTAGTATTCTACAATAAACTGTCGTGGTTTGTGTCTGAACTACCTGAAAAACGGATATCTCAAACGTGGTGGTCCAGTGCAGGTATAGTATTCTACAACAAGCTCGCGCAGTTTGTGTCTGAACTAAGAGATTTATCGTTTAACATATACGTCCATTATAAAAAGGGGGAATTAACTCACCGTCGTTAAACACTTTCGCCGCATTCCCTCGTTCTTCTCCAAAGACGTCGTTATTTACGCACGAATTGTTAATTACTTTCACAATCTCTTCAGTACTAACGACAGCCTTGCCAATTGCCTTTTTCGTAGTGGAATTTTTAGTTGTGGTGATGAGGGTAACCTGACTGTTGTCAATGACATTCGTGGTGGGAACTTTTGCCAAATTATTTTCATTTGTTTGATCTAGTGGCGCCGCATTTTCAGCAATATTTTTAATCTTTAAGACCACTTTTAAAGGACGTTCCTCTTCCTGCACGGAGTTACTCAGTTTGACGTCCTTTGGCATAGTCTTCTTTTTATTGCACGAAAGTTCGTTGTTTTTACTTGTGTTTGAATTTTTAGTTACGCTTAATTCTTTTCTTGGTAATTCAATTGAGCTACGACACTCTTTTTCGTTGGTAATATTGATCAATTCCGTTTCTTTTTCGATAGTTTTTAGTACTTCGTTTGTAGAAACACCGTTTTCATTGCTTGTGCCAAAATTTAAAGTTGCGTTTAAAAACTTTAAATCTTTTACGCGTTGGTTAACTTTACGACTACTTCCGTTGTCCTTACTAAAACTAACAGTGCTTATCTCGCTATCCCTGTTTTTATTTTCAATTTTTTTGTTCTTGCAAATACTTTCGATATTTTTTTGCTTCAAAGCTCTCTTCAAAGCCTCGATCTTATTTGCATTTGGTGCTCTTTCGATCACTTTTTTACTCTTTGAATTCTTTCTATTCAAAAACCTGCTCGTTTTACTCTCAAAAGCACTCTCAACGATTTTCAGCTTGCCTTCGTCATCCGAAGATCCCGGGTCATTTTCGCAGTAAGTCGTAGTACTTTCGGGCGGGTTTCGTAGCATGATTTTGCAAGTTGCGGGACATGAGTAGAGTTGATGGGTAGCTAGGGTGAAAGGGGAGATGAACGGGGTTTTGCATCGATCGCATTTGTAGTCTAAATGTGAATAGGAAAGCAAAACGTAAAATCAGAGCGGCCGAAAATCTGGCCGGCTTCTGTCTGACCGAACCCGGGTTAAAAACCTACCTTCCTTGCTGAATAGCACACTTCCTCGACGTTTGTGCCGTATGAGATGTTGGTCCAGAAACCAGTTACTGTCAAAAGTCAGTCCACACGGAATACATACGAACAAAACGCATGCCTGACATGAATAATTTTCGTGTTCGCGCAAAGTTGTCGCGTGCACAAACGATTTGCCGCAAGTGAAACATTCAAGATACGAATCTGAAATCATAAACGAAAAAGAAACTTTTAAAACAAACAGTTATAAAAACATTAAAAGTAAATTTTATTTCTTCTTATGAGTCATTCTATATTCAGTTTTTACTTTTCAATATTTTCAAAAAAACGAACGACGCTAGCAAGTTAGCAAGTGTTGTGCCGCATACAATATTTTACAAAATATATTTGTAATTTGCAATATAAACTTTATAAACGACAAAAACAATAAAAGAACAGCGGAAATAAAAGTATAAAACTCACCGTGTGAAGCCATATCTTGCATTTTTTTCGCTTTCAAAACGTTTATTTCACAGCCGTGAAGAATGTTATGAATTTGAATGGCGTGCGCGCTCGCGTCAGCTTAGCCTGCGTGCAGGTGGTTTTTCCTCAAAATCACGCAGGCTGATTCTGAGACAAAATATGAAGCATACATGAAGTATTGCGTACACATTTTTACTCACAAGACTATTTTTATATTAAATTTTGAGAATTTCAAGCAAAAATTACTCGTTTTTTCCCTGTGGTAACAAGCTGAAAAATACTTACAACATTAAAGGACACTTTGGTGTGTAAAAGGTTGGTTTTTATTGTTTTTAAACCTGCTGTTATGTACAAGGAATTACGTGCATGGGAGCCATATAACTCAGTCCAATATTGTGCTAG